GGATGATGAAGAATCGCTTTGGTTTGAAGCCAAAAGTGTAGACCTTCCTCTGCTCAAACGCCCATATCCAGAATTTGGTACGACGGTCGCTTCTTCCCACAAATTAATAGCCCTAGAGTTTCAATACTGAAGTTCATCGGCCAAGATAGCACAAGCATAATAGAACATGTCACGGTATCTTATACAGCTTGGGCTAAGCATCCATTGAAGAAGCCCATCGAAAGTTCGCTTTTCTCCTTGTCCTTATTAGGGCCACCCTTCACTTGGTTATCTATCGCCATTAACTCCGCTAGCAATTGGAATGACCTAGAATAGAAGTTCCATATATTTTTACACTAGGGGACATGAGAAAGAAAAGAAGATTACCTATTTGACAAACTTCATAAGGCAAAAGAACTAATGAATCTGGGCAATTCCAGTTTCCTTCTGTGAGGTTCCAAGAGACTAGAAATTTGGTGCTTCCTCATTAAACTTGGCTATCAGATCGCCTAGGTCGCTTGGCCATTCAAGGAATGTTGCCAATATGGAGAGAGAAGTCACCGGACAAAAAGTTTGATAACTTGGGTCAATTGGCCCAACAAGTGGCGCTACTAACAGCTAATTCCGGTAGTAACGCGTAGAGATAACCCGATTCTAGAAAAGTACTTCACATTGGTCAAGCCTATAATCCATATTCAATGATGATGCCTATGAAGACGATGGAAGAAGAAGAGGCTGCCATGGCTGGGAATGGAATTGGGGTAATGGTGTCAAACTTTGGGGAAGAGGAGTCGAAGAGAGCTATGACTTTGATGCCACAGTAACCCATGCTTCCTTCGATTTCTTTCCCTTTGAGAAGGGGCAGACTGTTGCCCGACAATCACAGCAGCAAGTTGCTTCCCCGATCGCCAAGAAGAATAAGAAGTTCTACAAGTTTCATACTACATCTCATTCTACTAATGAGTGCAGAGTTTTCCGACAACACATACAGAGGCTATTTAACAAGGAAGGCTCAAATTCGATATCACTTTGTAATGAAAGTTGATGATAATCCTTCCTAGGGGATCAAAAAGATGGTCTATGCTAGCCGCCTAAAGGAAAGACTAAGGTCCCAACATCAACTAGATCAAGAGAAACTAGAACGGTCAATCCCTTAGATGCAAATATCGGCCGATTAATACAGAGAACTTAGAAGACGTCGCCATAAGCAAAAAGAACCGATATGAGTGTGGAGAAACGCTTAAAAGATGGGGAAGCAATGGAAGCCAAAAGTTACATCTTGAATTTTGTTGAATAAATGGCGTTAGTTAGTATGGAAAAGGATTATCAACGTTGGTTAGAGGAGCAAGAATACCAGCGTCAACAAGAAAAGGAGAGAGAGGTAAGAAAGTCAATGTCGAATCACATTGAATTGTCCTTTCTTCAATTATATCGAACTAAGGTTTGAAATTGCCACCGTAAATAATTGTCCGGAATGCGCCGAGTAACAATATTGGGAGTTTAGGCATCTCAAGCCAATCACTTGGCCTATCCATGTTCGAGATGAGTATCATCATGATAATACGGATCAAGCGCTAAAAAATAGAAGCGTTCATGATCGGTTTGGAAAGCGTGTTGGTGATCAAAATTGGGTTGATTATGAAGAAGAAAGTGATGAGGAAGAATATAGTTTCAGTGTGAAGGCCAATGGTGTCCAGGAGGGTTTGACAAGAAGCCGTAAAACAAGAGTGCAATGCCTAAGGAATAGAGAACTAGAATAGGCTCAAGCATCCGGTAGACCTCAAGTGTATGTGTATAAGAAAACAACTGATAAAAAGGCAACCATCGCCAATATTCAAAAATGGCTTTTCTCCATACATTAGAGTTCGTAGCTCCAAAGCAGAGACAAGAAGTTTATTCAGATTTCTGATGAATCAAGTATGAGGAGATAGCTGCTGTTGAGTTGATGCTTATACAAGAGGGCTATATTTGATAAACCAATCAAGCATCGACACTTAAAGGCTTTATATGTAAAAGGTTTTGTTGATGGAAAGTCGGCGAACAAGATGTTGGTGGATGGAGGTGCTTTATCAATCTTATGCCTTTACACCACTTTTTGTAAACTTGGCAAGGACCAGGAGATCCGATTAGGGACCGATATGATGCTTAAGGACTTTGGGGGTACATGTCTAAGACCTGTGGGGACAATGAACGTTGAACCGATTGAATAGGAGTAAGACCTCGCTGCCACCACATTCTTCATTATCGGCGGAAAAGGTTCATATGGCTTTTACTCCTTGGTCATGATTGGATTCATGCAAACTGTTAGGTGTCAGCCAACCATGCATCAATGTCTCCATCCAATGGCATGGAGATGATGTCACCGTTCACGCTGATGAAGTCCGTGAGTATTGCAACAAATTTTATCTAGTGTATTGGGAGCTAGAAGTCTTTGAGTGTTTTTCTCTCGGCAAGTTATGGGAAGGAGGCTTCATTAGAATCATTAGTGAAAGCCAACACCGATCCAAGCAAATGGGTTTTGAAAATTTGTTTAATGGATAATCCGGGACAGATGGTAAAATAAATGGCAAGTCGGGACATGGCTTCACGCCCCCATGAATTAGAAGAGGTAGATATTAGTTCTGGAGATAGGCCTAGGCCAACGTATGTAAGTGCCAAGTTGGATCCTCGAGTATAAGCAAGAGTTAACAATTTATTAAAGAATGTAAAGACTATTTTCTTGGAAATACTATGAGATGCCCGGTCTAGACCGATCGATTGTTGAACATCAATTGCCAATCAAACTCGGATATCGGCCGCTTAAACAAGCTCCGAGGAGATTCAACCTAAAATGTGCTTGATGATATCAAAAGAGACTACAAGGTTACCGAAGCAAAGTTTATCCGATCGCGTCGATATGTAGAGTGGATATCGAATGTTGTCCCTGGTATAAGAAGAATGGAAAGTTAAGAGTTTGCATCGATTTTAGATCTGAACAAGGCCACACCCATGGATGGTTATCCGATGCCAATAGCCGATATGTTGGTAGACACAAAGAATTTAACACAAGGTTATTAGCTTCATGGATG